TTATTAAAGACTTCTGAATATACAGTGCTGTCTTATGTGTGTGCCACCTAGTTTAGGTTCTAACCAAATGTTTCTGGACTCTAATCAAGAATGTATAATACAGAGGCATAGAACTTCTGTTATTCACATCTCCATCAATATGGGTACTTTGCCAATTAGCATAATTTGTGTCAGAATTTTTTTTTTATTGGTGAAATTGGTGGCATTTGATTAACATGATGAAAGTTAGAAACGGGATCTCCTTGACGAATATAAAGATATTCAAGATAAGTGCCTAAGTTAAAATAGTTTAGAAACCTTCCACTCGTGCATGAACAGGATATACACATTCAGCTAGAATTATAGCCTGTACCCTTAGAATGCTGCCTGAGGTAAGACTTTACTTGGTTTTGGGTCCAGCCATGAACTTTGGAGGATTCTAGTTGCCCCATGGTGGCTATACTGGTGACAGGATCCCGCCTCTGGAATTCTGGTAATTGTTTTGAGAGAACCTTGCATGCGAGGTTGCATAATCTTATTAGTAAGTGTCTGTAGTGCAGCGGAATTTTGCCGGTGGCTTGCTTTGATCACGATCAGGTAACACAGTTGTAGAGGAGAGTAGCTGACCCTTGATTGAACAATTCCTGGATGGCTCCCATTTTAGCACCAGTAATCCTGCTCAGGTCAGTTTGCAAGACCCACTCACTAGAGTGTGAGTTTCTCAAGGGCAGAAACTTACCTAATTTATGGAAGTATCTGTGAAATGTCTGAAAGTGAAAGGCATCTGGGAGATGGAGTTTAGATGTCAAAATATGAGCATTTCAGGGAAAAATGGCAGAGCATAGCGGAACTGAGAAAATGCAGGACCCATGCTTGCCATGCTTAAAGGGCGGCTCTCTCCCCAGGGCCTGGTTCTGAATTGCACACCCAGTGACTGAGGACCCAGGCAGCCTCCATAGGACACACCTTACGAAATACTAAGATCCATAAAGATCGTATTCTTTGAACTAAGGAAATGACTGGGGACTCTTGAAGCAGGGCTCCCTGCTCAGAATCACCTGGGGCGCTTGTCGCAAATGCAAATTCCTCATCACTTTCCAGACCTCCTGAATTGGCACCTGTTCCTGTGGGTCCCAGGTGTCTCAAGTTTTAGCAAGTTTTCTAGAGGTTCTTATATATTTAATAGCAATGAACTTAACAATTCAGGGGGACTAAAGAAGAGCTACTACATTACAGAGTCACAGCGATTGTAAAAACGCATCTCGACGCAGAAACATTAAAATGTGGGTGAAATGTGCATCATGGAATAAAAACAAAACAGTATCACGTTTTCCTAGATGACACATTTGTATTTTAACCAGGCTCTCACTGCCTAAATGGAGATGAGGTAAACGTGAGGCTCCTTTATCTGTCCTGGAGCGAGCCAACGGGAGATATTTGGGGGCTGGGAAATCTCTCCAGGGTCCTTCCGATCACATTAAGCTGGCTGTATTTTTGAGTAGCAGACTCCCTTTGCCCTGCACCCCATGTCCTTAGACAAGAAGGAGCTCTCTTCATTTCGAGATTCAAATATTGAGGCATAGAGTGAGAGTAAACGACCCTGCCAAAGCCCCCTTCTAAGAAAGTCAGTGATCAGGCAAAACACAGGAGCAGCGTTCTGACTCCTGATGAAGCCACAAGGCCTCTCCTTCCCGTAGGCTGTAGCACAAAGCCTTTCAACAGGTGAATTCCCGGCCTAAAGGTTTCCTTTCCTTTCCTTTAAAATTCATAAAGCACAACAGACAGACAGAACAGAGCACTGAGTGCAAATAAATCTCTCCGCCAGCAGTTCTGACAGCTCCTGTTTAGTTCCTCAGGGAAATCACAAGGGAAAATATCACAAGGGAAAATACAGTATTCTTCAGAAAATATTTCTTTAAAAAGCAGGGGAGGAATGGTGTACTTCCCCTTCACAAGCAAGACTTTTCGAAATTTCCAGTGTTTTAATTCTCCGGTCAGTCAGTGGCATCTGTTGAGGATGTCCTGTGTGCAGAGGACCGAAATAGATTGTGGGGAGGGTGAGGTGGAGGTGCCCAAGAAACAGAAGTTCTAGCTTAGGAGACAAAAATACCCCACAGACAAGATGATTATATCTCTGAGTGAATTCTGGAAGGCATTTGTTTGTATCTCTGTGTATTAATCTGCCAGTAGCCATGCCCCACCGTTAGGTAAAGTCAGCCATGGAGGAAATGCTGGAGGTGAGGTCTAAATCAGGGGGAGGGGAGGATCACGGTGGGCACAGCATTCCAGGTGAAGTATTACAGATTCAGGTGAAGGTACATGGTGGGAGGAGTGAGCGGGTCAAAGGGCAGCAGGCAGCAGCAGAATCCCAGGTGGCGTGGATCATGCTCTCAGCGATCACTTAGACCTGGTGCCTTCCCATCCTTTGCCACTCACAAGTTGGGTCATATTGAAGGGATCACCTTCCTAAGCTTGTCTCCTTGGTTATAAAAATGGGATGATTAGATGTGGCTCATAGGGTTGGTTGCTCTAAGAAGGAAAATCATATGCAGTGCCTTGTAGATAGTAGGCATTAAACAAATGGGCAATTTGCCTTTGAAGTACAGAATGATTAAATGTGAAGCTGGTGAAATGAGAGAAGGAGTTGAGGTCACTGGCAAAAGGAAAGGGAACCCCAGGAATCCCAAATTTTTAAACCTTGTAGTGCTTCCCCAGGAGATTAAATCCTCACCACTGTAGAGAAGACTTCTTTACTTTTCAGATATTAAACTCTGAAAAAACAAAAATAAAAGCATGACACATTGCTGACCATGTCACAGATGGAAATCCTGAGCAGTCAAAATTATGGACAGCTTTTTCGCAATGGGTTTGCTGCCAGGACACAGGTGTCGTGAAAACCACCGCTAAACCTAAGCAAAAATGGGAAAGGAGAAGACCCACATCAACATCGTTGTCATTGGACACGTAGATTCGGGGAAGTCCACCCCTACTGGCCATCTGATCTACAAATGTGGTGGGATCCACAAGAGAACCATTGAAAAGTTCGAGAAGGAGGCTGCCGAGATGGGGAAGGGCTCCTTCAAGTATGCCTGGGTCTTGGACAAACTGAAAGCTGAACGCGAGCGTGGTATCACCATTGATATCTCCCTATGGAAGTTAGAGAGCAGCAAGTACTATGTGACCATCATTGATGCCCCAGGACACAGAGACTTCATCAAAAATATGATTACAGGCACATCCCAGGCTGACTGTGCTGTCCTGATTGTTGCTGCTGGTGTTGGTGGATTTGAAGCAGGTATTTCCGAGAATGGGCAGACCCGTGAGCATGCCCTTCTGGCCTACACTCTGGGTGTGAAACAGCTAATTGCTGGAGTTAACAAAATGGATTCCACCGAGCCACCCTACAGCCAGAAGAGATACGAGGAAATTGTAAAGGAAGTCAGCACCTACATTAAGAAAGTTGGCTACAACCCCGACACAGTAGCATTTGTGCCAATTTCTGGCTGGAACCGTGAAAACATGCTGGAGCCAAGTGCTAACGTGCCGTGGTTCAAGGGATGGAGAGTCACCCGTAAGGATGGCAATGCCAGTGGAACCACACTGCTTGAAGCTCTGGATTGCATCCTGCCACCAACTCGCCCAACTGACAGACCCATGCGTTTGCCCCTCCAGGACGTCTACAAAATTGGTGGTATTGGCACTGTCCCTGTGGGTCGAGTGGAGACTGGTGTTCTCAAACCTGGCATGGTGGTCACCTTTGCTCCAGTCAACGCGACAACTGAAGTGAAGTCTGTTGAAATGCACCATGAAGCTTTGAGTGAAGCCCTTCCTGGGGACAATGTGGGCTTCAATGTCAAGAACGTGTCTGTCAAAGATGTTCGTCGTGGCAATGTGGCTGGTGACAGCAAGAATGACCCACCGATGGAAGCAGCTGGCTTCACAGCTCAGGTGATTATCTTGAACCATCCAGGCCAAGTCAGTGCTGGCTGTGCACCTGTGCTGGATTGTCACACAGCTCACATTGCCTGCACGTTTGCTGAGCTGAAGGAGAAGATTGATCGTCATTCTGGGAAAAAGCTGGAAGATGGCCCCAAATTCTTAAAATCTGGTGATGCTGCCATCTTTAATATGGTTCCTGGCAAACCCTTGTGTGTTGAGAGCTTCTCTGACTATCCTCCTCTGGGCCGCTTTGCTGTTCATGACATGAGACAGACGGTTGCTGTGGGTGTCATCAAAGCAGTGGACAAGAAGGCAGCTGGAGCTGGCAAGGTCATCAAGTCTGCCCAGAAAGCTCAGAAGGCTAAATGAATGTTATCCCCAATACCTGCCACCCCAGTCTTAATCAGTGGTGGAAGAACGGTCTCAGGACTGTTTGTCTCAATTGGCCATTTAAGTTTAATAGCAAAAGACTGGTTAATGATACCAATGCATCGTAAAACCTTCAGAAGGAAAGGAGACTGTGTTGTGGACCATTTGTTTTGTGTGTGGCAGTTTTAAGTTATTAGTTTTTAGAATCAGTACTTTTTCATGGAAACAACTTGACCAAAAATCTGTCACAGAATTTGAGACCCATTAAAAAATTTAATGAGAAGCCTGTGTTTTCTTTTGGTCAACACTGTAACTTCCTATAGTACTTACTACTTAGGTAAGAGTTGCCCATAATCTGTTTCTGGTATTAAGTCTGCTGAAACAAAAGAATTTTATATTTCTGGGTTGGAGCTTCAGGTTTCTTATCCTTATGTAAGGAGAATTCACCTGTTTAAGTACATCATAGAAAAGCGTTGGTACAACACTTCACAGGTTAGGACAGATAAGCAAAGTAACTGTTATGTAAGCTAGTTTGTAAGAAGGTCAAATTCTATAATATGAAAGCTCATGTTGCATATAAAATTTTGCATGGTTACATAAGTATTGAGTAAATGAGTTACGTCAAATTTTAGTTTCCCAGTTATGGGAAAGTGCATTCACATTTACAATATTCAAGTAATTAACCTAAAATGTGAAGCCTAAATAGCATTGAGCACCGCCCTGCTAGAGTTATTGTATCCAGATTCTAGGAAAAACAAAAGATGCTGGAAACTAAAAAAAAAAAAAAATTACGGACAAAGATGGGTTCCAGTTAATGAGCTGACCTCAATACTGCGCCCACAGATTCTAAGATATAAGTATAATTAGAAAACAAAGGTGAAAAAGACCCCCCAAAGCAATTAAAATGCCTACATTATTATTTAAGTAAGTGATTTCTGATGACAGATGGCACATTTAAAAAATTTTCTCATCTGACATGAACTTTATGTGTTAGGGCCCAGTGTACTGTAGACACTATCTGTGATCCTTTTCTGGGTGGAGGGGAAAAGAAGGTTTTGTCCTTCAGTTTCTCCACCTCTGTTTTATAGAGAGCTCTATCAGTCTGAGAAGCAGATGTCACACTCAAATTAGGATGATTTGGAAAGGGTTTATTTGCAGAAGTGTGGTCACAGAAGAAGCAGAAGAGATAGTACAGTGTCCCAGGGCTGCTACCAGGAGAGCTGTTTCCATCGTAAGCCTGTGGCTTTGAGGGGAGGAGAACGACATGTAGGAACAAAGTGCCTTGAGAGAAGATGTAATCTTTGGTTGAGGGGCACAGTCAGCCTAAGGTGACCTTGCAGGAAAAGAGTTAGGGGAATAAATATTGAAGGGTAGCAGAATATGCCTCTTTGGCATAAGGATTATTTTGAGAAACAGCAAGCACAGAAGTAGAAGTTAGCCTTTTGTAAGGAACATTTGCATTTATAAAGGAACTCTCCATTGTAAGGGCATCTCCCTCTCTGTGTTAGGAAGAGAAGGATGACTGAATCACAGGAGAACCTTATGGATGGAGAAGGTGTCTGCTTAAATCTGTACAACAAACTATTTCCTGTTGACCTTGCTTTTCCAGATAACTTCCCAGAACTGGCCTCCTCCCACATCTTTCTTTCTTTTGTCGTTAGATGAAGATGGAATTTAAGCTGGAGTTCTAAGCCACCTTGGAGAGTTACTCCTTTTTCACTGGGTATCTCCCACATATACATGATGTATACAAGTCAATAAACTTCTGTTTGTTTCTTCTGTTGTTAATCTTTTATTACAGGGTCTCAGCCAAGAACTCAGAAGGATAGAGAAAGTTAAAGCTTCAACAGATGAACGTTGTTGTGGGGGGGGCATAATTCAATCCATAACACTTGGCAATATGCTTTATACCAACTTTTTAAAAAATATATTTATTTATTTGGCTGTGCTGGGTCTTAGTCGTGGCAAGCCGGGTCTTCGTTGCCACGTGGGGGATCTTTTTAGTTGGGGCATGCAGGATCTTAGTTGTGGCATGCGGGATCTAGTTCCCTGACAAGGGATCGGACCAGGGATTGAAGCTGGGCCCCCTGCATTGGGAGCTTGGAGTCTTAACCACTGGACCACCAGGGAAGTCCCCTATACCAACTTTAAATGGCTTCTGTGAACATGTAGGTAATTGGAATAGCTCACAGAATATCCAGAGCCTCTCATTTTGATTTCATTGCTCATCACATTATTCTTCCAAACACCTTTTTCTGGCATTGGATGTCCATCTCTGCCCCTCTGACCACAGGCCTTGAGACATGGAGACTCTGACCTGGGTCCTTGATTTCCAGGTATCAGATCCAGTGAACTTCTTTTTTTTTTTTTTAAAGTAAACTCATTCCATACCAGTGAACTTTATTCTAACCTAGAGATTCATTCAGTCCTGTGAGTAACTTTCTATTCTTATAAGTAGTACATGTCAAGTTCCCTTTTTACTGAATTTAAGTTGGGTTCCTGCCATTTGTGTCCCCAACTTCTGACTGGTCCTGACTAGGGTTATAGGGCATTTATTTGTGAGAATTTTGTTCTAGTTACTTAGGAGCAGGAGAAAATTAGAAATCTCCCTTTCTTTTCTTTTTTTGGTCACACCATGCAGCTTGCAGGATCTTAGTTCCCCGACCAGGGATTGAACCTGGTCCCCAGCAGTGAAAGCGCTGAGTCCTAACCACTGGACTGTCAGGGAATTCCCAGAAATGTCACTCTTAATCAAGATTTGAGGCTAGTTTTATGAAACAGCAACCAGCCTATCTCTATCCCCAGCAGATGTGTCCACCCCTTGAAGGGATCGACAGAGCCAGGGAGGGACACAGGGCCCTTGTTTAGTGACCACTGCAGCCAGTCGTGCTGCTTCTCAACACTGACCTTTAGAAAAATATTATGTACAACATCACTGTTCACATTCGACATTCACAGGATCTCTCAGGTATCAGAGAAGGATTAATCCTACATCCCCCAGGCTTGCTTGTTTCCCCACTCTCTTTGTTCTTCATGAGATGGGTGGGTTGCAGCTCTGGAGACAACAGTGGCTTCCTCTAATAAAATGCCTTGAATGTGTTACCTCAGAGGCTGCAGACAGCTACTGTGCTAAATTATTCACACTGACTTTTATTGGGTACCTTCCTCCCATTTCAATTACTTGGGATTTTTATAGAAAATTGGCTGTGGGAATTTGACCACTCTAACTGCCTGGTAATAATCTGGTCTGAATAGTAAACTCAGCAGGTATTGATTCTGGGACAAGCCAGAGCATTCTCAGAATTTGTGAGGAGCTGCCCTCCACTGCAGAGAAAGCTAGGAATGTTTATACAAAATGAGGCTATTTATTTGTGGGAATTTTGTGCTATTTACAGACCAGCAGGAAAAATTAGAAATGTCACTCTTCATCAAGCACTGAGGTCGGTTTTCTAAAATAGCAACAAGTCTTTTCATAAATACTTTGACCTTGTGGGACTATGAAAATGCTTTTAAACGTCTGTATTATAATATAAAGACATTTCGATGTCCACACACAAGCCATACACATAATAGCTGAAAGCTTGGCTGGGTGCTTACTCTATGCCATGTGCTGTGCTCTGTTTATGTTCATTAGCTCACATAATCCTGATAATAATACAATGCGATAATGGCTGTGTTATCCCCATTCTGCAATTTGGGAAACTGAGGCTCTGGGAGATTACGTGACAAGGTGAATTTACATAGCTTCCCAGTGGTGGTTTGATTTCATAGCCTGGTTCTTCGTGACAAGCTAAAATACTTTAAAGTTAGGCCATGTTTGTAGCAGAGAAAAATAAGTATTAAATTCTTTAATTAGTTTGCTTATACTCCATAGTCAAGGCGAATTGTTTCCTGAGTTTTCTGTCATTAAGATCAATACCAGAAATATAAGAAAATGGTTTTGGATACCCCCAAACACACTGTGTTATATTTCACACGTGGGCTCAGTCTTACTTAACTCATATCTACAGTGCTTACCACCTGGTGTGAGAACTTGGGGTGTCTAAGCTTGTATCTTAGGTTTGCAGACAAGTCTGGATGGCCAGTGGGGTGGCAGGACTCACCCTTTAGGGCAGAGAGAGTCCTCTACACAAACTTGGCTCAAGGATGAGAAGCCAGCTTCAGGAGAAAGCTCGATTACAACTTTTGGGATTTGCTCATTTTCCAGATCCCCCAGAACATGTGCCAGAGTCCTAGGGAGATGAAGTAGTAAAACTAAAAGAGCCAGGGGCCTTTTTGCTCGTCTCTGTAGGAGCTTGAAAGCAGAAGGCACTGCTGTACTTCAGTGAGGGGACCGCTGGAGCATATGACACAGAGGCCAGCATGTCTCTGGAACGGGGCAGGTGGGATCTGTCCCATCTGACACTGAGGCAGCAGTCTTCAAAGCAGGAGAAAAGGAACCAGCAGGTTACACGCTGCAACTACAAAAACTTGCAGGGATAACCAACAAGGACCTATAGCTCAGGGAACTATACTCAATATTTTGTAATAACCTATAAGGGAAACGACTCTGAAAAGGAATATAGCTATCTCTATCTATCTATCTACCTACCTATCTATCTATCTATTATCTCTCTATTTATCCACCTGAATCACTGTGCTGTACACCTGAAACTAACATGATATTTTAAATCAACTATACGTCAATAAAAATAAATAAATAAATAATTTTTAAAAAAAAGAACTTGCAGGAGGGAATGGTGCTTTCTATTCATAATCAAATCATCTCCAGTCCTACATTCACTTAATACACCCAGGAACTTCCTCAGCTACTTGGGAGAATTCAGAGGGAGCTAGCCTCCCCAAAAATGTGTGAGTAGGTTGGAGCTAGAGAAATACTGTCCTGCTGCCATTACTGAGATTATGATGGCCTTGGGAAATGCAGATCAGTGCAAATTAAGAAAATACACTTTTAAAAAAAAGTTTTTCAGTTTTTTGGTTTTTTTTTTTGAGAAAGACAAATAAGACTCTTTCTTACCTGGGCCTTGGATGGAAAGCTTGGCACTTCAAAGATCTCATCTGATACACCTTTCTTCTCCCCGATTTTTAGCGTCTGGAACTTTCACTAAAGTTATGTCATAGGAACAGAACAGAAATTTTTTTTTAACCTCACCTATGAGTAAGCAGATCTTTAAAAGTATGCTCAGTTCATGGGACTTCCCTGGTGGTGCAGTGGTTAAGAATCTGACTGCCAACGCAGGAGACACGGGTTTGATCCCTGGTCCAGGAAGATCCCACATGCGGCAGAGCAACTAATCCCGTGCGCCACAACTACTGAGCCTGTGCTCTAGAGCCCACGAGCCACAACTACTGAGCTCTCATGCCTAGAGCCCATGCTCCACAAGAGAAGCCACCGCAATGAGAAGCCCACGCACTGCAAAGAAGAGTAGCCCCCGCTTGCGGCAACTAGAGAAAGCCCGCCTGCAGTAATGAAGACCCAACACAGCCAAAAAAAAAAAAAAAAACTGCTCAGTTCATTATAAAGAAATGTGGTTAGTAAAAATCTCAATGTTAATGGAAGGATTACAGACATCCAGTAGCCCATTGAGCAGCTATTAATCTGAAAACACACATTGACTAAATCCCTCAATGTTATGCTCAGCATTTTACTAGATCAAACTATCCAAAAATAAATTAATCATGCAATATAGTATCAATCAAATACCACACTCTGTAGAAGCTACATAAAATAATATACTTCGAATGGTTCTAATAGTACTTGACATTGAGTTCTCCCAGTATTCAAGTCACTTCCTAAGCTCTCTCCACTATGTGACTTTTCATCGTGGGCAATTTAGAGAGTCTTGGGCTCCAGTGGGTTATCATTAGCCAGTCATTGTCTCCTTAGTACTTTATTTAACTTTCACTCTTACTGTGATCAAATGCTGGACAGGGGGGTTATTTTTTCCAAGGTATTTACCATGAACCAGGAATGGTAAACTAGGACATAGAAGTGAGAAAAGAAGAATTCTGTTCCACATATCATGTTTGCTGGAGAACCTGAAGCAATTCAGAGCCTTACAAGTAACTTCTTTTAGTGCTTCCAGGACATTTTGGAAGAAAATTTTCAATCAAGACCTCAATGCCACGATTTCAAAATTGAACTACAAATGTACGATACTGTGGCAGACGATTCATCGATATGTCAGCTTCTTCTTAGGCTGTTCAATTTCCTGTTTAATGGGAACAAAAACTGTCTTTGTCAACAGGGAGACTTCAGAGCTTATGTGATAATGGAAACTAAAAATCCAGAACAGACAGGTCTAAAACAATAGAAAAATTCCACTTAAACTTTCTCTCCAGCAGTTTCCATCTCCAGGGTTAATGGAGGAAAAAATAGCTGTCAACACTGGGCTGCCCCTGCTGCCCCCAGGACATGTGGCTTTGCAAAGTCTCTTGTGAGCGAGGTCAGGACAAACTGATTCCTGGTAGTCATTTGAAAGCCTATGAGTTTTCCCTCTAAGGCTAGGGGGTTAGAAGAGGGCTTTCTTTTTCTATTTTGAAGCTTATATGTTCAATCAATGCAGTCTATGTTGGATGTTATAATGAATATGTATTTTTGAGCACCAGAATTCCTTTGGAGCTATGGTCTCACCCAATCTCAGGCCACGGTGTTTGGTGAAAAGGTCCCCATCGTGTATTCCTAGGGGTGTGTATGTGTGTATTAGTTATCTATTGCTATGTAACAAATAACCCAACTTAATGGCTTAGAACAAATAACACTATCTCATAGCTTCTAAGGGTCAGGAATTCGAGTGTAGCTTTTTCTGTCTCTCTTTGCCTCAAGATCTCTCTCAAGACGGTAAGATGTTAGTCAGTGTTAAAAACAGCTTAGGGCTCACCTGGGGGTGATCTGCTTCTAAGCTCGCCCACATGGTTGCTGGCAGGTGTTGAGTCCTAGATGACTCTTACAGCCATCAATTTCTTGCCACTTCAGCCTCTTCATAGTGCAGTTCACAATGTGCCAGGGTGAATGAGACAGAAGTCGGTCTTTTTGTAACAATCTTGGAAGTGACATCTTATCATTTTTGCTGAATTCTATTCATTAGAAGTGAGTCCAGCATACATTCAAGAAGGGGAGAATACATGACGTCAGGAAAACCAGGAGACAGGAACCAATGGAGGCCGTCTTAGAGGCTGTGTAACACAGTGTGTGCTTACAAGCCTGGGAAATCATGTGGAGTGTTCTATTTCTCTGGCCACAATGATTGGCTCATCGATGGATACCTGATCTAAGTCAGGCCAATGAGACTTTTAACCCTGGAATTTTGGCCAGAACACTTGGGAAAGAGACCTTCTCTCTCCACTGGCGGTTTCTAAGAGAAACCACCTTCAGTGGCTGTCTCTGTCACCATCTTGGGAAAGCATCTTGAAAATATAGCCAATACAGAGAAAAATAAAACTAAAAGATGAAAGTGAAATATTCTTGGTGTCATTGTTTGAATACCTCGATCCAGATGTATTTAAATACAATTCTATCCCTGGACTTCGTGTTACATGAAACCCAATGAAAAGCTTCTCTTTTTTGCTTAAGCCGCTTTGAATTCGGTTTCTGTCACTTGCTACTAAGACTACTGATAGACAGATATATTATGAAAAGACACTATAATTGTTTTTAGAAATTTCTACCTGGTAAAAAAGAACCAGCAAGATCTTAGAGTTGGGCAGTGTTGATAGATCAAATCACTTCTTATATTTGTAGTAAACTATTTGCTCAGTACCTTAAATTTATGGGACCTGGACCAATAAGAGAGTTTTAACTCACTTGTCCTAAGTCCTTGTCATCACAACAGCAAGTAGAGTAGTTCTCTGTTGCTCTTCAGATGCTCATCTGGCTCCTTGTGTCTGACTGAACTTGGGTTTGAGAGGTAGTGCTACTCTGAATGTGTTTCTCAACCAGGGGTGATTTGGCAATTCTAGAGACATTTTTGGTTGTCACAACTAAAGGGGCAGATGTGCTACTGTCATCTAACGGGTAGAGGTCAGGGATGCTGCTAAACTTTCTACAATGTACAGGACTGCTACCTCCCCCCAACCCCAACAGAGAAATATCTAACCTAAAATCTCTGTAGTGCTGAGGTTGAGAAATCCTGCTCTAAACCATCTGTGGGTGACTTAGCAAATTACACTCAAAGATGGTGTTAGTTTTTTCCTGGTTAAATAATAATACAAGAGGGTTCAAGCTTGAAGATGTCAGAATGTATTGACTTGGAGGAGAGTCTGTCTTCCTCCTGCCTCCCATGGCGGACCCTAAAGCTTGGAAAGTAATACAACAGAGAATGGGTTCTAATGTTTTTTTCAAAACTGTTTAAAAATGGAGTCCTTCGGCATATATTTGCATGCTCTGTTCTGTTCTAACAGAAAGATTTCCATTTCAGGATGTTCTGAGATGCTGAGTAATGACAGAAAATTATTTAGGATTTCTGGTGGGATCTGGTTCCACATCATGCTTACAGACACAAATCTACGTCGAGATCCTGAATTTAAAGATTAAGGGCTTTTTCTTCTAGCTGGAAAATGGGGCAATTAGTATTTTAATCTATGACATTAGGATTTGAAGGGAAAAACCGGTAATAAAAACATAACCCTACTCTTTGTACTAGTAAGAAATTTAGTTTTTGTATGATCAGATGGTATTTAGCTTCTCTGCTTCCATCCCTTCCCAGGGATGTGTTTTAAGCCCCATATAGGACTGCCATAAATAGAGACATGTTCTTTCGTTTGTTATTCATTAATTCAGTAAATGCTTGCATATTCCCCAAAGTGCCTAGCACACAGTGGGTATTCAATACCCCTTACACAGTGCTTTGTTATAAGAGATTCTACAATGGCCAATAATATGTTCTCCTACTCCCTCTTGCAGGCTGGGGACTGTAGGAGGGTTAAAGACAGTTATCCAAGGTTCCAGGGCTGCCTTGCACGGTGGTGGCCAGTTGTATCAAGCATCAGGGTACACATGAGGGGACCAATGGGGCTAGAATCCAGCCCAAGCACTCTGTCCCAAGCTGTGTGCTTGACCCAGAGCTATGTTCACCAAAGACACTGACAATTAGCCAAGCCATGCTCCCTGTGGAGCTACATTCTTATAGCAGGAAAGCCCCTGACTTCAACAGAGGTTAGCAGACATCATGAGGTCTCCTACCTAAGCTGCCTTAAGGCTGTCTGATAGAAATTTTTCAACCTGCATGCAGATGTCCCTGAGCTCCTGGAGCCCAGGCCTTATTGCAGGTTTCCATTATCTACACCTACAGTCTGGGTTCACAGGCAGTATAATTTTCATCTCAGCAGGGTCCTGTTAAATCCTACTACCCAACCATAAAAATATAGCAGGTGCTTCTTAGGCCTTGACATGTACTGAAATACAAATTACATGGACACTTTGCTAAGAGCATGCACCTGTGTCTTCCACTTGACATTCATGTTGCCTTTGGTTTTACTGCAGGTTAATCATTTGGAAAATAGAGCTGAGATGTTGTGTTTCCCCTCTTGCAGTTAATTATTACTTAAGATCCCGGCAAGGTGAGTGAAAGGAAACTACCCTGAATCAAAAAGATGAGTTCTGAGAAGTCATCCTTAATGTCTCAGTCCTAGGAAAGCTACCTGAGGACATTATTGAGCCAACTATATTATGATTTTCCCCTCCTGGGATTTCCTTCTTAGTGAATGACACCACTAGTCACCCATCTTCAAGCTGGAAACCTGGATGTCATCCTTGACCCCCATTTCTCTCTCCCCTCCAAGCTTGAAGAGTGACCAAATTCTGTCAACTCTACCTCTTAAACACCCTCTTTTACCATCTTTGCCTCCTCACCCTGAAGACCTCACCACCTCAGTCCAGTGGTCACCATCTGTTGGCTGGTATATTACAGTGAAGTGTAGCCCTGCTTTCCATCCCTTCTCTAGGCAGCTGCCCCAAAGAATATGAAACCATAAGTCTGATTATGCTGTTCCCCAACCCATGCCACTCCTTTGCTCTGATGCTCTTTTCCTCCACCTTGTCCTTCTGATGAACATCTAGCTATTCATCTTTATGAGTCAGCTCATGTGAGGGTTTTTCTTGAGAAAACCCTCTACTTTCACCTTCTAGAAGTGGCCACTCCCACCTCAGCACCCTGCGGTGTCCTGAACACACTTCTTCAGTCCACCTGTGTCCTCTACACTGGAAACTTTTTCAAGGCCAGGATGTCTTCAACCTACAGTGCCCAAATGGCCACTAGGGCAGAGTAGCTGCTTATTAAATGCCTGTGGTTTACAAGATGCTGTTTTTTACTTTGCTGCTCGCAAAGTACTTTCAAAAACATTGCCTCACTTAAAACACTTTTTTCTGAGACTTGCATCCTGGCTCAAAGATATGGAGAAAGTCCCTCCATATCTTTGAACCTAGTGTCCTGATATATCAGGGTATAATCATACTTATTTGTGAATTAAAGTCCATGTTCTTCTTCCTGTCTTCAAGCTGCTTCTCTAACAGAGAGAGAGAAAAATGACTATTTACATAAGCAACAAGTGCAAGTGCTATGTGACAAAACTGAAAACTTTATATCACCATTAACCAAATTAAAATTTCAGTTTCCACTTTTCCATTCGCTCAGATTCAGGTGTTGTCTGTGTAGAATGTACATCACTGTACTGTTTGAAATGAATTTGAATGTATCACACTTATACAGTTTAACAAAGCCAAAGGACAACTGGATTCTTGTCACTGTGTTAGAATCTTTCACATAGATGAAGCCATCTATGATGTGATTATTATAGCCACTGTGCCCAGGGTGCTACATTTACCTTTGGTGAGTCTCCTTCTTGTTGAAACTAGGAGATAATTTAATTAAAACATTGATTAAATGCTTATTGTGTGTTTTCCACAGCAACTAACACAGTGGTTTGTGTTATCCAAGTTGTATAAAGCTTGGCTCTCCCTGGAATAGTTTGTGAACATCTAACCCTCCTATTATAGTAGGACTAAAATACTAGTCCAAATCACTAAAAGAGACGACTAGAAACTAGGAGCATAGAAAGGCAAGATCACTCTCAGTTGAGAGATCAATCCATCCTTGCATTATGGAGGAAAATTAAACTTTCCTTTAAGACCAAGTAAGAAATAACATAATTCAACATTTATTAAGCTCTTTCCATGTTAAGCACTTTACAAGGAATACTTCATGTAATCCTTTAGAGAGTCCCTTGAGGTTAGGATTTGTAATCACATTTTATGAAGGAAGAAACTAAAGCACAAAAAAGCAGAATCAGAGGAGTGGCAGCAGCAGGATTTGAATTCAGAGAGTTGACTTCCCATTCCACTCAGTTAACCCATTCTGTAAACCAGGCAGTGTCTGATGATAGCATCATCAGGTCTTACCTTGGCAGATGAATGTTTTGCCAAATCTGCCCCAGCTCTGCTTTGCTTTGAGACCCCCAGTCCCTGTTCTGTGAACATGGGTGGGAGAATTGACGTGATAATCTGGATTAGCTCTCCTTCTAAAGTTAGGATCCCCAGACTGCTTACACAAGATGGATTTGGGTTTTGGAGAGAGGTGGAGTAGACCTACATGTATGTGTTGGGGGGTGATGGGTGAGAAAGGAGATACTTTGGGGGGACCCTGCACCCTCACTACTCTTCTTAGAGTTTCTTCTCATTTTGAAAGCTCACCTACCATTTCTTTAGTCACTAGAAATACTGAGTTCTCTGGTCTGGATCCCTTGACTCTGCTGAGAACCAAGTGCCACCTCTGATTTACCACACTTGAATCCAGAACCTCATTGCCTTTTGAAAGACATACCAGTCAAGATATGGTACAGGAAGCAGGGCTCAGACTGCGAATCTATTGCTTCACAGTCATTGGTGAGCACTCTTTCCAGGCACCCAGAGGAGTACAGGTTTCCAAGCTTCTCTTCATGGAACTTGGAATCCATTGGACAATTCCACTGCCTACAGAGGTAAAAATGAATTTTAGAAAGCTGTAGTAATTCAAAACAAAACAAAACAACCCATCTCCCTGAGGGTATTTGAATTTAGCTTCTGATGAAAATAAGGC